CTGTTGTCCTAATATGGGCATTCACTGCTATGAATTTCCTGTGTAGAACTGCTTTCATTATGTCCCATAGATTCCTGTACGTTGTACTGGCATTGTCATTTAGTTAGTGGTAGAAACTGTCTAATTTCTTCTTTAATTTCCTCTGTGACCCATTGGTTGTTCAGGAGGGTGTTATTCAATTTCCATGTGTTTGTGGGAGTGTTGCGCTTATGTTATAGACCTCCAATTTTATTGCACTATGGTGTGATAATATACAGGGGATAACTTCAGTTCTTTTACATTGACTTAGACATGTCCGATGAGCTAGCATGTGGTCTGTTTTGGAGAATGACCCGAGTGCAGCCAAAAAGAATGTGTGTTCTGATTTTGTGGGGTGGAACACTCTGTAAACATCTATTAAGTCCATTTGTTCAATAGCTTGATTCAGTTCTAGAATTTCATTGTTAATTATTTGTCTAGATGATCCATCTATTTATGATAGTCAGGTCTTGAGGTCTCCCAGTACAATTGTATTAGTGCTTATTTGGTTTTTCATGTCCATTAACATTTATTTTGTATAGTTGGGGGCATTCATATTTGGTGCATATATATTTAGGATTTTCATCTGTTCGTTTTGAACTGTTCCCTTCACATGGATGTAGTGACCATCTTTAACTCTTTATTAGTTTTGATTTGAAATCTACTTTGTGAATAAGATTGCTACCCCTGCTTTTTCTGGGTTCCTCTCGCGTGGAGAACTGTTTTCCATCCTTTTACTTTCAGTCTATGAATTTCTTTTTGAGTTAGGTGTGTTTCTTGTATACAGCACATTGCTGGATATTGCTTCCTAATTCATTCTGTCAGTCTGTTTCTTTTGATTGGAGAATTGAGGCCAATAACATTGAGAGTTAGAATTGATAGATATTGACTTATCCTTATCATGATGTTTTGCTATTGTTGGTTCTTCTATTTCTTATTTTTTCCCTCTTTCCCTTTAGTTTCTTACCTTGCCTGGTGGCTTCCCTTTGTTGGGCCTCATGGAATTGTGACCTTCATTGCCTTTTTCTAGGATATTGCTTAGAATTGTTTGGAATGCTGGTTTGGTGTTCATGAAATATCTCAGGTGTTCTTTGTTCTGGAAGTATCTAATTTCCCTGTTGATTTTGAAAGATAATTTTGCAGGATACAGCAGTGTAGGTTCGAAGTTTTTTTTTTTTAGGGCTTAAAGTACTTCACTCGAGGCTTGCCTTGATTTGAGGATTTGAATTGAGAGATCTGCCGGGATTTTGATGGGCTTACCTTTGTAGGTGATTTGTTTCTTTTCTCTAACTGTCTGTAGGATTTTGTTCTTCTGTTGGGTTTCTGGGATCTTGATGGTTATATGTCTAGGTATAGTTTTTTTTTGATCATGGCTAGTTGGAGTTCTGTATGCCTCACTTATCTGTATGTCCAATTCTCCACCTCTGT